GCCTCAGCAAAAGGTTCCAAGGGAATCAGTCTGAATGATACGTTGCTTCCCGGTCCAAAATTGCAAGCTGATCTTTCTGGAATCTTAGTTAAATTTCGTGTGTTTCCTATAATTTTTCTGGCCGACATTAAACAAATGTATCTGCAAATACAACTTACGCCTGAACATCGAGATTATCAGAGGCTGATTTGGCGGTTTAATCCGAATGATCCCATAAAGCAATATCGTCTCAACACGGTTACTTTTGGCGTCACCTCCAGCCCTTATTTGGCAATTAGAACATTGAAAGAGCTGGCAAAACAGGAGAGATCGAAGTATCCGAACGCTGCTGATATTCTTTTGAATAATACTTTTATGGATGATATCTGTGCTGGCAGCGACTCTCTGGAATCTGCTTTGGCCTTACAGAAAGAGATAATTGCTCTGCTTAAAGCCGGTGGGTTTGAGCTGAGGAAATGGGCTAGCAACCATTTTAAATTATTGTCGTCTTTAGCTTGCCGATTGTCAAGTTCCCGTTTCGTTTGATAGAGAGGTTTCTAGTAATATAAAGGTTCTTGGTCTTCTTTACAACCCCTCTGTCGACAAGTTTTCGTTTTCCCATATCAAATAAACCCCCTACGAAAAGGAATATTTTGTCAGAAATTGCCCGAATCTTCGACCCTTTAGGCTTCCTTTCCCCGGTAACATTTTTGGCAAAACACATTATGCAGCGACTTTGGATTTCTGGCATAGGTTGGGACGAGATTCCGGCCAAACCAATTTGTGACATTTGGGTGCAGTTTCCACTGGAACTTCCGAGGTTATCACAAATTTCATTACCGCGTTTTATCTTTGCCGAAAAACTACAAAGGTGTCAACTTTTGGGATTCTGCGATGCTTCAGAAAAAGGCTATGCTTGTGCAGTTTATCTTCGAATTGAATTACCGAATGACACCGTAAAATCTTCTTTAATTATAGCAAAAAGTAGAGTCGCGCCTCTTAAGACGGTCAGCCTTCCACGCTTAGAATTATTGGGTGCTGCCTTGTTGGCAGAGTTGCTTAAATTTATTATTGACCTTCTTAGCAAGCTAATTTCTATCAATGAAGTGTTGGCTTTCACGGATTCTCAAGTAGTTTTAGCGTGGTTATCCAGCTCGCCGCACAAATGGAAAACCTTTGTTGCAAATCGGGTTAGCCAAGTTCAGGAAACCATACCCACGGTACCCTGGTATCATATTAGTTCTGGGGAAAACCCAGTAGATTGCGCTAGTAGGGGTTTAACACCCAGCAACCTAATAAATCATCCCTTATGGTTTCAAGGTCCTCCTTGGATTTTACTTCCTCGAGCTGAATGGGATCTTGTGCCAATGGATGGATCCAATCTGGGAAAATCGGTGGCTCTATCCGAACAAAAAACCTGCACATTCGCTGTTACGCTGGATCCTAACCCATTAGATTGTTTAGTAACCAAATTTTCGTCTATACTTAAAATTCAACATATAATTGGTTACGTACTTCGATTTACTAGCAACACTAAGGCCAAGTCAAGAGATCATTGGGGTGTACTTACGGAAATAGAAAATCAAAATGCTCTTCGAATTTTAATCAGGCATGTCCAGAGTTGTTCTTTTTCGGATGTCATTTCACAACTTAGGACTCAGGCCTTAATACCGAAACCTTTTCGCAAGTTAGCTGTTTTTCTCGATGCAGACGGATGCCTCAGAGTGGGCGGTCGTCTAAAGCACTCCGATCTTTCTTTTGATGCAAAACATCCTTACCTTCTTCCTCGAAACCACAGATTAACGCATTTACTTATTGAAAATATGCACCGGAAACATTTACATGTGGGGTTAAATACCGTGCATTATCTTCTTAGACAACAATTTTGGATATTATCAGCTCGTCGAGCAATCCAAAAGGTGTTATCACAATGTGTAAAATGTTTTAGGGTAAAACCTAAAACCTTTACCCCATTGATGGGGGATTTACCTTCCTTTCGAATTTGCCAATTAAAATGTTTCTCTCAAGTTGCCTTAGATTACGCAGGTCCATTAAAAATAACTATGGGCAGGCACCGAGGTGCGAAGGTCATGAAGGCTTACGTGTGCATTTTTGTTTGTTGTACTACTAAAGCCATCCATATTGAACTGGTTTCGGACTTAACATCGGATGCCTTCATAGCTGCGTTTCGTCGTTTCGTTGCACGGCGCGGGAAATGCACCAACATTTTCAGCGACTGTGGTACAAATTTTGTAGGAGCTAGAAACCAATTAGAAAAATTATCTCAATTCGCCTCAGAATCTTTGCAAATTAGATGGCACTTCAACCCACCAGGCGCCCCACATTTTAATGGTCTGGCTGAAGCCGGCGTTAAATCAGTGAAATCTCATTTAGTACGTGTAATAGGTCAGCAACTTTTGACATTTGAAGAAATGTCGACACTTTTGACACAAATCGAAAGCCTTTTAAATTCGCGTCCTCTTTGTGCGCAAAGCTCCGACCCTAACGACTTAGTTCCATTAACTCCAGGACATTTTCTAACTCTTGAACCCTTAAATTCTTGTCCAGATGAGAATCTTGAAAATTTAAAATTAAACACTTTATCTCGATGGCAATTGATACAAAGACTACAATCTGATTTCTGGAGACGTTGGAAACTTGAGTATTTGAACACCCTACAACAGCGCACTAAGTGGACAGATCCTTCTGTAAAAATTCAATTAAATACTTTGGTTTTAATAAAGGATGACACCAAGCCACCTTTGCATTGGGCATTAGGCCGCATAGTTGAATTACATTCTGGCCCAGACGGCCAAACACGAGTTGTCACGGTAAGGACACAAAACGGACTGTTTAAGCGTCCTGTTATTAAATTATGTCCCTTACCTACTCAAGATCAATAAATAAGTACCAACCATAGATATGTTGTTTGTTGTGCAATGTCCTAAATTCAAATGAAAAATTTTTTTTTTTTTTGGTAAGGGGAAATATTTACAAGAGCAAATCTTGGGAATTTAGTTTAAAAATTCTATTAGTTGATTTTTTTTTTCCTTGTGGGTAATTGTGTTATAATTATGCATTTCTATTTGTAAAACATCCGTTTTAGTGGGCGGAAAAATGTTTAAACCTCAGTTGTTTCGGCGCGTAATTTTAAAATCATACAAGTACAATCGGGCACTCGGGCGGAGTCGCGAAAACACTTTAAAAATGAAGAGAGAAGGGGAGATAGAAGTTCTATGTGCGAACCAGTAAAGCAGCATGAACGAGTTTTCACGTGCATTTTATTCATTGAAAAAGTGAAAAACCAAAAGAATCTTTGGGGGCCCCCATTCAGCCGGGACAGCAGCTCACCGAAATCAGCAACTCAGACACGCCAGGTACGTGCCCAATTTTAGTTGAAGTATTTGTATGGTTCGGCGGTAATTAGCATTTAAACAACAAAACATATAGCTATGGTCCTTCAGTCCACGTCTTGCAAAAGAATTAACTAAAATATAAACAAGGTCTCTTTTCCAATAACACGCGGAAATTCATAAATCTTCGAGAGATGTTCGTGAATTTAGGTGTTGATGTGTTGTGTAACGCGCAGGGTAACGTGTTATCTGGTTCCCACGCATTTACCGGATGTATGACTTGTGTATGGTCCTCATGGTTTAGTTCATCGCAATTTGGGCGAATGCCACCGAAAAATGTCTGAGTTTCTACAATCCGTTGGATTGAAGTGGATGGAACTATGTGAATCAGAAGTTTAGAATCAAATGGTTTGAAAGATCTCAGTAGTCAGTATCCTATCGCTATCTCTGTTGGTTATGCTCTCGCGCGCTTATCTCTCACACGCTCGCACTCGCTGGGATTTACTATACCTAAATTTTTTAACTTCTAAGCCGTCTGCCACTATTAAAGCTACACTTAGTATCGTCTGCCAGGATATATTTTAAAGTAGTGACAAAAAGAGGAATTTTTTATGTATAATTTTTATACGGTCCTCATTGTTTAGTTCAGGGGTGTTTTTCCATACATTGAAGGGCGTCTTTCGCTACCAATGCTGCACTTGAAATCGTCTGCCATAGCATATTTGAAAACTATGGAAAAAATGGGATTTCTTGATACAAATCTTTTCCGTGACCCTTATAGTTTAGTAATTTAGTTGATCACCTAAAGACGTCACCTATTCAGCGCCGCCCCAAGTTAATGCTGCCACTTACGACTGGCAGACGAGTGATTTTATTATTAGTTTTCAACGTACTTTCAGCCTGTATTGTGGAATTTTTTGTCGCTTATGGTTTAGTTACTATGTACGCTGCCTCCCGGTCTATTACCTTGAGTTTGCGTGTTAATACGGATCCAGGTACGGATCTAACTTACGTGTTGGGTCTCGGTTTTCTTACCTGGAGCGACGAGAAAAGCAAAAACGGGGACACGTAGTCGTCATAGTTTGTAGGTCATTCGCAAAGTCTACTAAAGCTATAAAAAAATAACGGAACCTAATATTGTGCAAGAGACTTTTTCACTAAGAATAAGGTTTGTACCCCCCATGTCATTGCGTTACCTACATCTAACAATAACGATCGTTTCAGTCGGTGTAGGCAGGTGCAATACCTCCTGGGCTATCTTTTGATGGGTGCCACGGTTTTCATTTATTTGGTGATCCCATACAAAATTGAACTTGCTGCAGTGATAGGCGTAGATGATTTTAAATCCTGTAGATTATTAAAGACTAATTTAGCATCCGGACGTGTATAGATAATAGAACGTTGTCAGAGAATTTCCCCAATAGCAGTGGCGTAGAACGGCAAAAAATGGCCGATAAAGGTTATACCACGACGCAATTTATAGTCGATTGCAACATTTGGATACTATAACCAAAGAGTAACCATAATTATTCTTTGCTATAACTATAAGTTTAAATTTGTTCCATCTATATATACGGTACCCAAAGAAGGGATATGTACCGACGACCCTGTTCAAAGAGATAGTGGTGGAGTATTTCACTGAAGTTATCAAGTGCAGTTGCACAGTTGAGTGGTAGAATGGCGGTCAATATCTCATTGTGGTTTGTGTTTATTTTGCTTGCAAATGTTTACGTTCTTCATGCCAAACGTGAAGACGTGCAGATTAAACAGAAATCCATACATCCCAGCTATTTCGAAAATCTTCCCACCAGTAATGTGAGTTGTTCTCATCCATGAATTCTCTATGTTTGTACTTAACCATTCTAGGTGCAAGGCGCAGTAGTTCTGAAGTCAAACCTACCGCTTCTTGCTCAGACCCAGCTAGCAGCGACTTTAACACAAATTTACCAAACTACTACGGACCCGATGCAACGTATTCAAGCGTTCCAAACTGCAACGACGAAAATGTATTCGATGTATTGGAATGTAGTTCTTAATTTCGAGGGCATTACGTTCTTCTACAAGTACTACATTTATCTTCAAATTTTTAGCGACCACCTCATTGCGTTCGGTTTAGATTAAATTGTGCTTTACAGTGTATTAATCAGTATGTAATAAATTTCATCTTCTAGCATATTGATCCAAACAAAAAATGTCTCAGTCCCTCTCAAGTCAACGCAAGGTGTAAATTAATTACCTATTGTGCTCGCCAGGAGGAAATGCCGGTCACAGAACATCTATTACCTGTCTATAATCGTATTATATTTCATATTAAAGCATACGATTGTAGATCAAGCTGCCACATGCAATATGCCACACGTTACATAATTGTCATTTTAACACCCACGGACAGTGGCGCCAATTACCTGCCCACGGAATCGTTTAGAGCGGCCAAAATATACATAGTGTCTAAAATAAATCCTATATCAACCAACCCATGAAGTCATGGAGTGCTGTTAATTCCCAGACCGTATTACGATGTCTGTGGAGCGATGTAAATAAATGAAACTACGCATAGTCTTGTCTATTTATACACTTCTCAGGCGGCGCTATTTGAATTGCGTCCGTTTACTAAGAATAGATACGCGGATAACTGTTCTACCCTGGCTCAGTGGATCTTAGGTATATTGTAGGGAATATTCTAGAAATCCCGTTACACATCGAGGCGCCATGCATTATTTCCGGGAAATGTGACGTGTTTGTTCGAGAACTTTCGAGAAAACAAGTCAATATAACGGATTTTATCGAAGAACCCGCCAGGTAACTCTTTACTGTGGGAATAATAACTTAATTGGGATTTTAGTTGGACTAAGAGGAAACTGTGTGTAAGATCCGAACACCTACTGTTCAAGAGTTATAGCACAGACGGACGCACGGACAACCACACGATTTGTCCTGCCGACTATATCATTTCAATTAAGTAACTGATAGATTTAAGTTCGTGGACGATGTGTTAGCGATTTCCCATTGTTAATCGAATAGTGCCTTTTACATGCATCTATACAAAGTAAATTGACTAAATCAGATGTCTAGGAAATTTATCTGCAAGGAATTTTGATGACATCCGGTCCCAGATGATTTAGAGCTTTTCTCTTTCAACGCACTTTCATTAAAAATGACACAACCTTCTGAAATTGTAATGAGCAGTTTTGTTGATTTATAGATCCATAGTACGGAAAAAGTTATAATCTGCACTGACTTGAAGATCGATATCGGTACAACCATTGTTTAATTTAAACAGTGCCTCAACCCACCAGAATCTATCAAATTAAGTCGTGATGAATGAAAATAATTCGTTAACTTAATTAACATCCGGGGTAATAAAATAGTACAGTCTAAGAGTAAAATTGAAATGGGAAACGGGGTAGGGAAAAGTTTTAAATCTTATTTAACGTGGAAAAGGCTCTTTTAACTTGATAAAAGCAAACAATACGGCTACGCGAGAAGTGCTAAAAGCAAAGGTAGATAATAGGATAAAGTAGTAAACCCAACTATTTTATTACACCACCTTAACTCTAGAGATCTCCTTCTGTTACTCAAGATTGTTTAAGATACATCCATTTCAACGTGCTAGTAACTATAAAGTGTACCTACTATAAAGAAATTCAATAAAACACAATTTGCGGGAAAATAGGTCTTCTACTATTAGGAGAAACAGGGAATCGTGACAAATGTTTGTGATTCAGTTACAATGTATTGTCTTACAATGAATGGAAGTGAAAGTTATACACATGCTTTTGTCGTAACTTGTTTAAATAATAATTGAAAGGAATCTAATTCTGTGTTGGAAACCATAATACCTTACCGTTAAGCCCTGCTGCAAGGATGATAGAAATTACTATCGCTTCTGATCTTCTGGAATATCCTGCATCCCGCTGTTTTATTGGTAGAACATAAGAACAAAAACACTCTCCTTCGATATCGTCTTTTACAAATAGTTTTATTTTGATTTCACATCATAATACTGGAATTTCATAAAATTTGCAGAATATAATCTTATAAGAAATTAAGTTAAAGCGTTTGGATGTTTTCTAAAGCAAGTTTAGTGCTTCAATAACGATTGTAAAAATTATCATTCTGGTATATAGTCACCCAGGTGCGGGGAACAGACACTAAATGACACTCTCGAATGTATGATCTACAATGTTCATAAAAAGATGGTATGGACAGTGTGCAGAGGTTGAAAGGTGCCACGTTGAATGAAACAAAATATTTTTTTTCGTCATTTTTGATTTCAAACAAATGTGGGGAGCCGCGATTAGTGATCGATTATCATGCGTTGAATAGAAACACTAAATGGGGGTGGACTATTCTCAACGCTGGACCTGGCGCATGGATACTTCCAGGTGCCTTTGGGTGAAGATTCAAAGCCGAGGACCTCCTTCATTACGATATGTTTTACCTCGACATAATTATGATCCCCGCACATGATTTAGGCGAAATGCTACAGAAATTGCGAATTATGCAGGTCATTATGTAATTGGGCGCAAACTTGTTGAAGTCCCAGGACAAGCGGGACAATAAATAAATACAAATAGATGCTTCAATTGTGCGTCCCAAGGACATTATTGCAATGAATGTGCACGTCCGAGAGATTATAATGCATGTTTGAAAGGTAAACAACCAGGTCATACAAAGAACAACTGTACAAAACCGAACCGATTGGTAACCATCACACCCAGAAATGAATGTTCTGATGAAAATGCAATGGCTAGGGCGAGCACTTCCAGCAGACAAAGCGCGATGAATGTCAGTAACTCCCAGGTTGGAAATACTGTAGAAAAGTTCCTGCGAGCATCGAGAATTAATTGAACAAAGGTCAGGACGATGGCTGATGTAAGTACTACTTCTTAAATGAATTTGACTTCCAACCTGGTACCACATATGGCACATGCCGACGCTTTGTCAAGAGTACCAGTAGGAGAACCGTCGGATACAATGTTGGCATTTGGACGAAAAAGTTGATAATAAAATGTATGTTAGAAGCCATGAACGAGAGTGATCATGTCATCATGATACAACACAGCGATAAGGAATTATTACGCAATGAGATGTTACACAGCAATACCAAGTTGAATTATTGAGTAAGCAAGAGATGGAGGATATCCGGAGTTACATCTTCGAAAAGTGTAAGGTATACCGTGAGTGCAAGAGATAAGTTGCTAGACCTTATACCGCGTGCTTTGCGAAAAGCATCGTTGTGCAAATTATGAGGTCGTGATGTAAATGCAAATTGAACCCCATAAAACCACCCAGCAGACCATACTCACGGGTACAGGTAGGCCATTTGGAACCGTTTATTAAGTGAACGTGGTAATAGCTATCTATTAGTGTTTTCACATCGAAGAAGATTCCACCCTTTGCGACTACCCTCCTCTGACACTGACGTTCTGCAGATGTATTCACTGAAAGGTTTGACATCGCCAGTAGATGTGTCTTCTTCAGACGTTCTACGTACCCTCTTCCGACACTTCGATTGTAAGATATTCGCTTCGACTTTATTAGTAGCTATGTCTCGTCCAGATACCTCATTTTTCCTTTGTGAGTACTCCCCTCCGGCAAACCGTTTTCGAGATATTCGATTTTAAGGTTTTGCCATCACCAATGAATGACGTCCCAATCGCCCTTTGTGAGCACCTCCTCCGACAATCCGCTCTTGAAGTATAAGGAATTATGACCAATCACAATAAGAGTTCGAGGAGGAGGACTGTGGTTGATAGAAGAAAACGAGACTCAAAATTTTTATATTTGGTGACGTTTTATTAATGTAAATTTCAGCTGGTGGAGTTTTCCGGAGAGATCCGTTTTTATAACTTTGTTGACGAAGAGCTCCATTATACAGTGTGTAAAGCGATGGAGTATACAAGAGGGAATTTTTTTTGAATAATGATTTATGAAAAAAATTTATTCTTCATGATATTTTTTGCTTGCTTTGAAAGTACCAATAACGTTTCGATAATAAAAAATAGTATATTAAGATACAAGTGTATAATCAAGTCTTTAAAGCACGCGCAACGAGTTTAAGGGCACGACGCAAAGCGGAGTGCCTTTAACGTTGCAAGTGCTTTAAAGACCAATTATACACGTATATCTTATAGTATTTTTTATTATACCTGCAGTATAATCTAAAAATAGGAAATACAATGAAGTCATATTGACGTTATACTCGAATACATGTCTAATTAAGTGGGCTGGGTGTTCGTAATTTCACGATTGCCATGGAAATGTCACTTGACGTTTGCTTATCATCGTCTTTCTGAATTAAACGATTTCCGTTGAAAAAGATAATACACCGCCCATTAAATCGATTGTTGTAAAATCTAAACAAACGTTGGTAGGTGGAAAATCCAACTCCAGTAAAACCTAAAGCCTATTATAAAGAATATGAAAAGTTGTTTCCATGGATGAATAGGAAGTTACTTACGAATACAGTCTTAAATACATCCATAATGCTGGCATATATGAAGGAAATGTCAAAGGTATTTAAATCTATATTTTGGTGCATTCATTCAAAACTTTAAAGCAATGCTGCTATTAAAAAGTGGAACAGATTTGGAAGCATACCTTAAATTACGCGCGTTTGTGAAAGCTTCAACGAAAGGATAGGTACAAAAGCCAAAGAAATGTTCTGCATTTACAGAAAGCGACCTAAGAGGATTTTTTATTTCATCCAGATGACAGTTTCAAAAGTCATACTTGAAGTATCGTTACTTAGCAACTTAGCACGTGTGTTTTAAAGGCCCTTTTTCGCACGCATTTGAGTGTTTAAAACGGAGATTGTGATTCAGGTATAATAAAAATTTATTTATAGAAATCTGGAAAAATAATAAAATTAATTTTTTTTATTGAAAGTTATCATTCTACATTATAATCACATTATAATCACAAACAATCGAAACGTTATTGGTACTTTCAAAGCAAGCAAAAATATCATGAAGAATACATTTTTTTCATAAATCAATATTTTAAAAAAATTCCCTCTTGTGTACCCCATCGCTTTACACACTGTACTATGTTTTGAGTGTTAATATAAACGAATAGAAGAAAACGAGACACATTTTTTTTAATAAAAAATGTTTGTTTCGTTATTTATTTTTTTTTTTTCAGTGATAAAGGCTTCGTCTGCTTTTGGTC